AGCAAAAAAGAAAAAAAAAATGTAATGATCCTGTTACTTGTTAGATAGGATATTTGTAAACTTTGGCATTATATATTAGGAGTCATTTATTTATATACTCACTATATTTTCTTCCTTGTGAATAGCTTCTGTTCTTTTCCCATCTAATTTTTTTATGGTCTTAACTTTTGTACTGAATTATAACTTAAAATATTTAACATATTTTAAGTTATAATGAGAACTCTTTGTGTATCCTATTTTTTGTGGATCCTTTTCCACAATCTATTGTTTACCTGTTTCTTTCTTTTTTTCTTTTTAAAGATCTATTTATGCATACAAGAACTAGGGTACTGGCCAGAGCAGAACAGGCAGATCTACTGAAATACAATACTAGGTGGAGCAGCAGGTGGGTCAGGAGAGGTCTGCCAGGCCGTGTGGGTCACCTCCCTGGCTAGGGATTGAACTCATGCAGTGGCAGATAGCTTCATAGAACTGTGCTTTAACCCATTGCACCACAAGGGAGGGCCCTGTTTCTTTGAATTTTAAGTATCCAGGTCTTTTATATTTTTTACAGCTAGGTTTGTTGATCTGATCTGTTGTTGATGGCTCATAGATTAAGAAAGCTATCCTCACTTAAGAGATTGTATCCATGTTAAATTCTGTTTACTTGTGATATTTTTGGTTTGATTTCCAAGTATTTAAAGTGTAATTCTGGGCCCTCCCTGGTGGCAACGGGTTAAGGCACAGTGCTGCAGCCACTTCACTGAGAATTCGATCCCCGGCCAGGGAGCTGACCCACATGGAGCGGCAGACCTCTCTTGACTGACCGCTGCTCCCCTCAGCAATGTACTTTATCAATCTGCCTGTTCTCCCCACTCTGTCTCTGGTGAATCATCTCACTGCCCCTGTACGTCTGGCCGGTACCCCAGTTCTGTATGCATAAGTAAATAACTTTTTTTTTTTAAGTGTAATTCAGTCTAGTTTACTTTGATTTCTAGATTGAGAGTCTTTTTCCAACAAGATTGTGAATTGGTTATTCTGAGACTGGTTATTTATTACTCCTCTTCCCTATTGGTGAGATTTCCTTTATCATTCACTCAATTATGAATTTATCACGGACTATCCTTCCTGCACTATCTGTTTTTTTTCTGTGATCTGTTTTCCCAGTTACCCTTTGTTTTACTTACTGTAGCTTTGCAATGTAGGTCATTGCCTACCTCTTGCTTTAGAGCGTCTTGCTTGCTTCTTGCCCTTGGTGAAGCTGAAAACATTTTCATCAAGTTCAAAAAGAAAACTTATTTAGGATTTGGGTAGGAATTACATTAACTCGTGTAAATTAATGAAAATATAGATGCTTAATAATTTTTGCTATTATGTTTGGTTTCCACAGTTCCATGAACCCAGCCAGTGACCTGGCGGTAATGACTTGTCAGGTAGTGACTGAACCTGAACCTGCACACCCCTAAAATGCAGGGTGACTAGTCCAGGATGTAGGCACTGTTTCTTAGTCTTGAGATAGTTTAGTTCCATTAAACAGTTGTGTCCAGTTCCTGAGAGCACTGGTGAAGAGCCGTAATAAGAGGCATCTTAAAAGTTCACATGTAGGGATGTCAGAGAGAGTGTGCAAGCGAATGTTCTTGCTCTGTTCGCAAAGAGATGCAATTTACCTTGTCTGCAGTTCACAGCACAGCTCAAACAATGTTTTCAGTTGCAGTATTGGTTTCTCCTAGAGGTAAAATCCCTACTTTAGATGTGGGAATGTAAAGGAAATCTCCCAGTGCCCTTCTGGGCACTTCTAGGCTGGTGAATAACATTAGAGAGATAGATGAGGAAAAGGCTAAATTAATGTCTTTTAAAAAATCAGTATCAGGGCTTTCCCTGGTGGTGCAATGGGTTAAAGCACCATACTATGAAGCTCTCAGAAGCCACTGCAGCAGGAGTTCAAATCCCCAGCAAGGGAGCTGACCCACATGGCACAGCAGTCTCCTCCTTTCATGCCCACTGCTCCCCTCAGCAGTGTATTTCAGTCGATCTGCCTTTTCTGTTCCCCACTCTGTCTCTGGTGAACCCTCTCAGCCCCCATACCTCTGCCTTTACCCCAGTTCTGTAAGTGTAAATAAATCTTAAAAAAATTATCATTTCAGTATTTTGACTTATTTTCCATGAACAACTTAAAGAGCATACAATTTAAAAAAAAAATCTTTGTGAACTCTGCTCCTTTTCTTAATATTGGTCAAATGCTTTTTCCATTGTGATTCTCTTTGTTTTCTATTGTTGCCATTTGGAATAGGACCCTTAAAAACTGTATTTTATTGGTGGCATCTAGGAATATCTTTTGAATTTTGCACATTCATTTTATTGGCCACTTGGCTGAGATCCTTTTAATTTGTGTCGTTTGTCAGATATCTACTTTAGGGTTTTACGGTTTTGCAACCATTTCACATGCACATAACAGTCATTTCTCAGTGTTCCCCATGTTTCTGCTGTTTCATGGGCCAGAACTTCCCAGTCTGTCTGCAGGGATATTGGTGATGGGGAGCCCCCTAATTTTGCTCTTCGTTTGAAAGGGAAAGCCTTCTGATGTTTCCCTTGATGTTGTTCCTAGACTGTTTGAGGTCTTTGCCTTTACCCAAAAATGTTGTTATGATTTATAACAACCACAACAAAGACTCCATTCTTGCCCCTTGTGCATCTGGCATAAAGCACTGGAGAGCCTTTTGTAGAAACACTAGCTCTTTCTAGAATCCCCAGCTTGCCCCTGTCTTTGCGCCACAGAGCTGGTCCAGTTCCAGCCCCTGATCTGTCTCTTCTGAAAGCCCAGCCTCAATCTCTGGCAGGACTTGGCACTCGCTCTGCCAACCCTGCCGATGGATAGGAGAGCTGGTGCCTGATGTTGGACAGCAGCAGGGCTGAGGTTCTCTGTGCAGCCTGGACCAGATGAGGCAGTTGGTTCTCTTTTTTTTTGAATAATATAATAGTTTATTTTTACATCATTTTGTGCATTTTTCCATCTCAGTTGTAATGCCCATGGGCTTCCCATCACCAAATCACCCGTGTGCCATCACCATAGTCCAGTGCATTTCCCTCCTCCCAATGTTTTTGATCCCATCCCCCACTCCACCTCCATAAAATGTCTCCGGTATATAGCTCTCAGCAGGATGCCTTAAATCTCCTGTGGACCTTTAAACATGTGGACTTTCCCTTCATCCCACCTGTTTCCTTTCATTCCTCAAGTCAGCTAAGTGAGGTCACCAGTCCCCTGCCCTGCTATGAGCTTGCTAGCAAGACAGCTGGGGCCTGTGTGAGGTGGTCGCATAAAAAAGCAAGACACAAAAGGGAATTAATATAATGCAGAACAAAGAGGGATTGTCCACACTATGTGGGAGTCAGAGGCTGTAGCCACTAGTTGCTCAGGGCAGTCAGAGAAGGCTTCTTAGAGGAGCTGTCATCCGAACTGACAAATACGTCTAGAAAGCAAATGAAGGAGCAGGCCTTCAGTCATGATTAGTCCTTCGGATTTTGTGTTATTGTTGCTATTCAGAAGGAGAGGTTAAACACGATGTTCTTGTTGGCATTCAAGAAGGAATCCTATTGAATTTTGTGTTTTTATTTTGGAACAATCTTCAGTTGTTTAGAGCCTTCCTCAGCCTCATCGGGAAATGGACAAGAGTTGGCTGAGAGATGGGTCAGGGCCGTCTGAGTTGGTCAGTGTTCCTGAGGTTCCACGGTTGGGGAATGAGCAGTAATGGGGACACTCAGAAGGGAACATGTGTACCCTACCCGTTACCAACTGCCAGGGGCTTTGTTATTGCATTTAGAGCTTTTACTTGCATTTCATTTTGCAGACAACTCTGGTAAGTTAACGACGACACCCCCATTTCACAGATAAAGCAACTGAGGCTCAGGGCACTTCAGGGCTTAGATGAGCTGCTCAGTCGAATTTCTGAGCCCCCAGGTTTTCAGTGTCTCTCTGCTGCCATGTATAACAAATCTTTATTGAGATATAATTCACATGCTCTCTATTTTATTCACTTACAGTTCAATGATTTCAGTATATTCAGAGGTGTGCAATTAAACATCCCCACCATCAAATTTTAGAACACTTGTACCCTCACAAAGAAAGCTCCACCCTGGAGCTGTCATCTTGCAGCCCTCGAGGCCCAGCCCAGGTGAGCACAATCCTACCTTCTGTCTCCATAGGTTTAGGTCACTCTGGACATTGCATATAATCGCATTTGTGGACCATGTGACTTCCTCACTCAGCATAAGGTTTCAGGTCCATTCAAGTTGTATCAGCACTTTGCTTCTTCTTTTTTTTTTTTTTTTATTGCCCAATACTATTCCTTTTAAAGGAGATGCTATATTTGCTTATCTGTTCTTCTGTGCTTGGACATTTACGTTGTTTCCACTGTTCTGGCTATTGTGGAAAATACCACAGCATTCACCAGTGCGACTGTAATGGGGCAAGCACTCGTTTCTCCTGGGTATGTGCCAGGGGGTGGGGAGGGCTTGTGGGCCCACATGGTAACTGTGTTTAACCATCTGAGGAGCTGTGGCTTCACTGCTGCCCCTCACACCTGCTTGCCTTAGAGTGAGGGGACTGGGAAGAAGGCCGACCACAAAGTCTGTGTGACTTGCCTGTTCTCAGAGACATGGGCTGTTATAAAGTCCTCACAACCCTGCAGCTTCTCTGCGGGGTCTTTGGTGACTCCAGGGGGACACTTGGACTCCACAGGGCCTCAAGCACATGGCTGTGAGTACGGGTTGCCATTGAGCTCTGCCTTTGGCATCCGGCTGATAGGCTAAGGAACAAAGAAGGTGCTAGAAGCAACCATAAGACACAAGGTGTGAGTTGGGAACACGTGTGCTTAATGATGATGAGGGAGGCTCTTGGGAGGGGGAAGGCAGTGTCTGGAGCCTGCATCGTGGGAAGGGGGAGTCCAGGCCCAGGTCTGTGTGGTTTGAGGCAAGTTCTTGGGCAGCAGTGGCCGCTAACTCTGGTCTTTTCTCTTTGGCTGCAGATCTGGCTGAATGCAAGTTGGTTTCCTTCCCCATTGGCATCTACAAGGTCCTGCGCAATGTCACCGACCAGATCCACTTCATCACGCTGGCCAACAATGAGCTCAAGTCCCTCACCAGCAAGTTCATGACCACATTCTGTCAGCTCCAAGGTAGGCCGTGGTCAGCTGGTCAGCTCAGGCTGCAGCCCTGACAGGGCATGTCATGACGGATATTCATCCCTTGTTAGCTAGACCTGAAGTCGTTCCCAGAGGAGGCTATGAGGGCGGACCTGTGTCCTCCCTGCCACCAGGAAATCTTTAAAGACCACCCCTGCCTCTAGCTGACTGGGAGTCTGATTGACTCATGAGTCAAGGGTGGGGGCCTGGTGTGGCCTCTTGTTCTGAACACAAGAATCTTGTGTGAGGTCCAAGCCAAGGACTAGTTATTCCTTGGTAGAATCAACCAGCCACGCTTGTGACTCCCCAGCCTAGTATTGTTCTCTGTGTAACTGTCTCTGGTCAGGAGTGACAGATGTAGGATGCTGGTGTTTTCTCTGCCAGACACAGAGCAAGAGGATGGGGAAGCGTGGCATGGAGAAGTGTGGGAGGATAGCAGGTAGGTGGTGTAGAGTCTCTCAAAATTGCTCCTTGGGAGGGAAGACCTGGATACTCCTCTCTCCGGAGAGCAGGCCCTCTGGCCTTCTGTGAGTGTCCACTGCCCCTCAGCGACCCACAAGGTGGAGCCTGGGTGCTTGATGTGTATCCAAAATGCTGGAGAATTGAGGAGGGCAGAGTGGGTACCAGAGAGATGATTCTTACCTTCTGAAAGTCTCTACTCACTAAAGGTATGAAAGTGCCTGAGAGCCTTTTAGAGAGTATGAACCAGAGACTGCTGATAGAACCAGGGAGGCCTGAGCAAGACTATCTCAGAGCTGGTGGTAGGTTTTTGGGAGGGATTTGCACAAAGCTCAGAGGGGAGAGGGAGGCGTGACTTGGCAAACAGGGACAGGGACAAGAAGCATGAAGGTGGTGGCTCAGAGGCATAGGCTGGATGCACACGGAAGCCGAGGAGGAGGGATGGGTCTTTGTAGGTATTGCATTGGCGCCTGAAATGCAAAAGTACTTACGAGTGGACGAGTGGAGGGTGGTTTGTGTCGGGTGGAGGAGGAGCGAGGGTAAGATTTGTTCCCACAGGCACCTGTGGGCACTTTCAACCTGCTCTACTTTTCCCATACTTCCTTTTCTTATGGCTGCTTCTTTGCAAGGTCAGATTGGCTCTCAAAGCCAGCGGTCCCTTGGACCATCATTTCTTGATCCTGACTGAACTGAGACCCATCAAAGGCACTTTACTATTAACACTCTTGCCTTGTCTCTACCCCAAGGCCAGTTGAATCACAATGACTGGGTTGGGACTGGGCCTAGGTGTCTGTTAAACTTAGACTGCTTATAAGTCTCAGCAGTCGGAGCTGGGACCAGAGTTCAGGGGGCATCAAATGCCTAGACTAGCCTGTAAGTATCAAGTGATTGGGTTTTATGATGAGAGGGGGTGATGGGGACTGTGGCAAACTAGTACATGACCTGCTTGGTTTCAGTCAGGTGTGTTATGGGATTGTTCTATTGTTTTATTCAATAGAAGCTAGAAATAAAGATTTTTATGTGAATCTTATCAATATGAAGAAATTGTTACCTACAATTGCAAACATAATTTAGTCCAAATGCCACTAGTTGGGAGTATCTCCCAGAAAGTATTAGCGCTGTCTCTGCCATCTCATTTCATGGATGGTGAAGGAACCATGAAGGAGACAGGGTTTCGTCTGGGGTGTCAGAGCCGTCCACCCAGATGGTCCCCCACAGAAGCCAGCGCTGCCTCTCCAGCCCACTTGGAGTTCACTCAAGGGTCACTCAAAGCTGTATCTAGTCAATTGAAATTGGCTGTTTTCCAGAGGAGGATAGATAAAGAATGGAGAGCAGAGTCAGACTGGGCTGGCATCGTGCACAACCAGGCAGGAGGCTTCCTTTCAGATCGGAGAGTTTGTTTGCGCTTTCTTTCTTTCATCCTTCACGTGAGCGCTGCCTGTTCCAGACCTGTGTCTGGAGGCTGAGAAACAAAGGCAGTGGGCTAGGTCTCTCCTTGATGGAGCCCATGGTCTCAAAATAGAGTTGTCACCGGCACTGAGTGTGGCGATACTGGCAAGGACAAAGTGCTGGGACTGTCAGAGAGAACTGACTTCCCCTGAGAGTAGCACAGCAAGGAAGCTGTGGTTTGGGAGCAAAGATTTTCAAGGGCATGGCCATTCGATAGCACCCTGTGAGATGAATATTTAGGCCCTTGCCAGGGTGACCAGTTCAGAGAAGGGCAGCTTGGAAGCCCTTGGTTTTGTGCCTCAGCCTCGGAAATATATTTCTCTTAAGACCCTTCTCGTCAAAAGTCTGTTAAGAGGTGCAGTTGAACTCCCTCCTGTGCTGCTTGTAGGGCCTGCTCCCCACTTGCTGCCTCTGATTAGAAAGAGAAGGTCATGGTATGTCCAGGAATTGAATTTCACAGAAGTGGCAGCAGATTGAAGGCTGGTGACCAGGGGCGGGAGGGGCTGGAGCTGAGAGGTGGCCCAGCCCAGCGTTAGTTGTGATTTCTCTTTCAAATAGGAAAACGCCCTCCTTTTGTGTGCGAAGAGGCTTGAGCAGGCTTTGCTGGACTCTGCTTAGCCTTCCGGTGTCCAGGCTGTGTGACTGACAGAAGAGGTGGGCCCCCTCCGTGCTGGGGGAGAGAGCCATCTGCTGACACCTCGCCTGCCAAGTTGTCACATACGGGTACCCTGGGACTGTCTTCTGTTCTTGGTCCCCTCACAGCTAGGTCATCTTCAAAGGATCCCGTCCCCTTGATGTCCTTCTCTCATTTTATGGAAGGAATAAGCAAAGCCTGAGAAAACCAGTGGCACAAATGGCATTGTCCAGAAGGCAGGCCGGCCTTATGGAGAGTGTCCCCACATCTCCGTGTCCCCACAGCCTCCTCAAATCACTCTGCTCTTTTTATTGAGCCTGCAGCCAGGAGTGTGAGTCTCTACGGACATAAATGAGGGCCACTCACATGCCAGCAGGTAGAGGCTGATTACAGTTTGTTGGGGGAGGGGTAGCAGCCACTGTCACCTGTATTTGCAGACTCAGAGGAGGCCAGAGGTGTGGGAGAGCTTTGTTGTGTAAAAAGGGAAGGGCTCAGGGTGGCTGGTCAGCACACCAGCCTCAGCTGGCAGAGAGGCAGCTGATGTGACTGACTAGGCTCTGTGTTTGGCTTTCTCTGGTGGCCCTTGGTTTGGAAGTGGGCACATTGGGGACACTGGACACTCATAATCAGGCACTGCCTCTTTGGGGCTGATTGTTGCAGGGTTTTGTTAGTCTGCCTGACCCTGGTTAGAGATGGTGCCTGTGTTCCCCAGCTTCCGGGTAGCTGGTAGCTATAGAGAATGGTTGGTTTCCTGGGCAGGTTGGGGGCCAGAGTTCTAGCTTTGTATTGTCTTTCAGCTCAAATTGGGGTTCCTCAGGACCCTCTGACCTGCATCAGGTGGTAGGCGTGAAGAGATGACACAGCTACGCAAACTCACACAGGGTGTCATTGTGCGTGGGCCTCCCAGCGGTCCCCATGCGTCATCTCATTTAATCCTCACAGCACTGGGAGGATGGGAAGGATAAGCATCCTAGAGGAGCCACAGGGGAAGCAGGGGAGTCCTCAGGGCCCAGCACTTCCTGAGACGTCAGGAGAAAAGCCCCCTGGGGCAGTCTGCAAAGGGCTCCTGGCTGCTACCTGATAGCCTGTTGTCCTCCCCTGGGAGCAGGGGGTGTTTCAGGCAGCTGTAACTCCTTTGTTTGCTGCCAGAGAAATCGGTGTAATTTTCCTCATTACATCAGCCATCAGGACAGAGGGAGGAAGTACGCGGTTTTTCTTTCACCTAGGGAAGCTGCTGGGGGCTGTACCTCATTTCCGCTCACCCTGGGCCTGGAGTCTTCTGGAGGGCACCCACCTGCTTGGTGCCTGGGGGTGAATTCAGGAGGAGGGAAAGGGGAGCTCCTTTGATGGAACTGTGTTTAACCGGCAGAAAAGGGTGAAGGAAGTGGCTGATTCCTCTTCCTCAGGTCAGCCTTCAAAGCTGCCTTTGTCCATGGCCCTGTAGTCTTGGGAAGAATTTGGGGCCAGGACGGGGCTGTGCCAGTGGACAATATGTTCCAGGCCTCAGAGGACTTTTTTCCTGGTATTCTGGGAAGCATGTCAGTGGTTGGGAACAGTGGGCCCTCTGAATCAAGTACCCCAAAAACAGTAGGGGACGGTGGGGTCACAGTGCATTTTGCCTCTGCTCTTCTTACTTGGCTTGGATCCTCTGGTTTTACTTTTGTTTAGAGATTGGTACTTAGTGGATAGGGAGTAGGAGGGATCTAGACCCCTGCTGGGAAAGCAGGGCAGCAGGTGAAGCTTTGCGGTGGTCACCTGATGGCTTGGTTTTGCTTTTAATCAGAATCTTTAGCCAGGCAGAGCTACCCCTACAACAACTGTTTGCCCCTGGAATAGTGGAGCCTGGGAACTGACCATCTAGATTCCTGCCTGATATCAAGGCTGGATATGATTGTAGCCTTCTGCATCAGTTTGGCCATCAGTCCTCAGGGCATCTGATCCTAGGGGTTACCTGGCTGACCTGAGTGGGGCAAAAGCCAAGCTGCGTGCATGCTTGTGGGTGTTACAGGGCAACTTCAATGTGAATTAGATTGTCTGACTGTAAGGTCCTCACCCATGTGCTTAAAGGGACTTATAAGATTCAGCTTCAGACACACACAAAAGGGTTAATAATGGGTTTATTTACAAGGGAAAGGGAATTGAATAACTCAAAGGAAAAAGAGTGAGAGATAAGTTGGGTAAAGCATCCTACGAGTTCCACTGACCTGGAACCCCAATAGCACTCTGAGAGCCGGCAAAAAGCCAAGAGACAAGTCACGAGTCGAGAGGCCAACACCCCAAAAGCCTACAGGTCTAGTTTTATATCAAACCTGGTTGCTTAACTCCACCTTCAGGTCCCAGCCCCTCCCTTTGGCGATAAGGGAATTTGTAGTTCCTGTGTCTTGGATGGGGGTGGAGTCCACAAAACCTGTATCTATAGAGTTTGGTCAGGACATCCTTTCCCTCTAGCATG